GTTTCCTCGGCGCCATGACGCATACATATTTACGGTGCGCATATACAAATTTTTCCGCGTATATGCATTCCACTGGATATTTTTGGGAACTGCCCGTCCTGAAATGGGAGCCCGTCGCCTAAAAGTAAGCTCTCATTGATATCACTTACTTTGCTAAACTCTTTTATGGCTTCTTGCAACTCCATAAATGACTGGAAGTGTCTACCACACAGAACCTCTCGGAACTTCGCATCAACAGCAGAAGTGAACGCCATGACAGCTCACGTGAAAATGTTCAAGATGTGCGAAAACTAAAACTGCACACTTTTCCCACCAATAATTAAGCCAAGACTGCTGATTGAACCCACCAATCATTAAGCAACCCAAAAAAAACCAACAAAATACCCTTGCCGAGTTACACATAGTTCATTGCCTAACCCACGCCTAGCTTGTTTTTTTAGAACCTCGTGGCTGGGTCTTGTAGTTAACCCTCTATGAATAAGTCCCGTCTACTTTCCATTTTTGGAATCCTTAGAACATTTGCTTTATTGATACTCTACCACGCGTAGCTAAAGAAAACGCCAGACGGAAAAACGACAAAAAAGGAAACTATGATCGTGATCGCCCTAATAACAAAATAGCCACAAATTACCACGAATGCACGAATACTTCTTACGAACTTTCGTACGAATTCGAAACACGAACTCGTACGAAAGTTCGTATTAAAATTCGTATCTCAAGTTTTTTTGTACAGCGGGACGCATACTTCTCGAAAAACCCCCATTCACACGATATACCCAGTAGCACTTTTTTGAAGTCTCCTTTGTGTGTTAAAAAACTTTGTTAAACTTAAAATATTATAAAAAAGGTGTGCAAAAATATATTCCTCTGGATTGGCCTTGTGTAGGTTAAATTCCAGTCGAGGGGCCGGGTTAGGGTTCGGACTCTGGAATTTAAAAATATAAATAGGTTACAGTGTGCAAAGGATGAAATCAAACAACACGTAAGTGTTTGCGTTGACTTACCGGCCATAGACCTCCCTACGGCTTCCCTCAATAGCCGCTTCAGATTCCGGTCGTAGCCTTTCCTAAAGGCGACCTTAAAGGCCTCCTCGTAAGCCTTGCGGTCAACTGCCGGTGATCCGCGGGAAATCGTAAAGGCGTCTGAAGGATGCTATGTTACAGGTAAATTATTAGTAATTACTCAATATGAATTTGTAAGCCTCTGTCTTGAAGGAGGCTTTCTTTCCCCTTTGTCGGCCGTACAGCGTTACATCTTCAGTAATTCTCTCGGCAAACAGAGTCTGAAAGACCCTATCGACAAAGGCGGAAACGTCCGTTGCGTCGAAATTGGCGAAGAACGCGTCTAGTAACTTTCGTTTAAAGAAGAGTGCACTAACCACTTGCTTACGAAAATCCTTATTATATAAGGATTGCTCAAACTGCATTAGTTCATTCCAGGATTTGGCCTTCGGGATTAGTGGCCTTTGACTTGGGGCCGAAGTCCCAGTCGCAAGCTGCACCTCCCCATTCACTATTTGGTGAAGCAAGTTTTCAATGCGGACCAGCTGCTCTTCCAGCCGCGGTACCCTATGTCGCGTCCGATCAGGGAAATACGGGTGGATTGCGAGAGACCGGAATAGGAATCAGAGGTACTGGATCAGGTTTGAAAGCTTCATGAAAGGTATTTCCTAAAAGAGCGCCCATTTCGTCAGATGGAGAAGTGCGGTTATCATTAAAAGGATTCATGGTGGTTAATGAAGATGCAATTGAACGAATAATGTTTATTGAGGAATTTCGAATGAATCGTAAATCGTAGAGTGAAACAGCTGTAGAAAAACGTCAGAACTTTTCAAACGCGGGGACCCTAGTCGCATTTCACACAGGAATCAACGGTGGAATCCGCTGCGACATATCGCCCATTTTAGGCCGGATTTATGCGCAATTTTGTTACCTATGGCGCGCCGGAATATGTAGCAAAAAGTTGCGGCAGATAGGCTACAGAACGTAGGTACCATTTAGCGCAATGCCAGCGAACCCCCGACAATGAATTAAAGGGCCAAGGTGGTTGATATATTATTTAAAAATGTTTATTAGAGAAATAAAATTACAAAGGCCTTGAAAAATAAGTCTCTTCTGGGCTGCCTCTGTTTTATTGTGGCTCCATCGAGGGACCTGGCGTAGGGTCTACGTGAGAAAATAAAGTGGCATCAGTAATATTTCGAACCTTGGTCATCTTCGTTTGACGACCCTTCCCCCGTGCGCCATTTCCTGTATGCATCCAAGCTGCGCTTAAATCGCCGTCGCAGGGCATCTTCCAATTCGGAGACATTAATTGCCTCTCCCTTCCACAGGGCGTATGCGTCTAATGCGCGAGTGTTTAGAAGTATTATTATAAAACAAGCCACGTATAGCATCATAGAGTATTGTCTCTCGAAGCGCTCGTTAAGAGGTTTTGCCGGAGAAGTTTGCGTAGAGTATAATGTCATCTTCGAAAATGGATTGGAAGACTCTGCGGATGAAGTCCTCCATGTTACGCCCTCCAATGGTGGAGAAAAATGTAACCTGAACGTGAAATTTAAAGAGGAGAAAACACCTTACCAGTCTGGCGATAAAGAGGGCCTATAAGGCGCATATTAACCTCCTCGAAGTCACCAACGCTGGCGATGGGGGCATTTAGTGGATTCCGTGGGAGAGCGTCACGGACACCTGCGACGGCTGCGCCTGTGCCCGTGGCAGCTACCTCCGCCCCACGCAGGCGGCGGTGCAACCCCTGGTTACCTTTCATCAGCCAGAGTAAGTGGCGCTTCAGGAGGTTTTTATACCTTTGCATCGCTCGTTGTCCATCGGCCAATGCTAAGCGAGTGGCGCGTAGGCTA